TCCAACCTAAGAGCCATGGTCTCCAACTCAATAGCGATGGCCTCCAACCGAAGAGGGATGGCCTCCAACCTCCACCCTAGTAGGGATGGCCTCCAACCTAACAGCAATGGCCTCCAACCCAATAGCTACCTCCAATCTAAAAGCAGTGGCCTCCAAACACGTTTAGTCTTCCACAATGTCACACTAGTGAAGACTGCAGTCCGTTCTTTTCCGAACGCTTTCCAGCAAGCCCGGACGATGGCATCATGTTTTCCACCGGTGTTTGGGCCATTTGCATCCATGTGTCCAAGAAACCCGCTGCGAAAAAAAGCCCGGCAGGCCTTACGAATGTGTTTGTGCATCGCTTTGTGTTTTAGCGTTCTGTTTGAGGCATGTCTCAGACATAACCCAAGCCCATCAATTGAATCCCTTAATGTGTTCAAATGAATCGAAAACCCACCACCTCTGCCAATCGGCGTGTCGTTTTGCCCACACCTTAAAGCCATAGTCCTCAAGTGCAGAAGCCAGCTGGTGTGCGTAAGCCACATGGAAGTAACTGGGGAAGCATTTCATGGCCTCCTCGTCCAAAGTCACTGCGGCCTTCTGCTCTCGCAAGATGCTCACCATGTCGAAACCTTCCCCCGGCCATTTGTCACCTGCAAAGTGAAGAAAGGTTTCTACTAGCTTCTTGTTACTACTAGTAACTTAGTAGGGCACCTGTTACTACTAGTAAGGCACTTGTTCCTACTAGTAAGGCACTTGAAGAAAGGTTGCCAAACGCATCTGGAATTGGTGACTCTTGCTACACTACTAGTAGCGATGGCCTCCAATAGCGATGGCCATAACCCGAGCATAGCGTCCGAACGCTACCTTAAGTGACTTTATCTGACTTTGAGGCCCCAAGACTCAAACACTTCAGCAGCTGACGTTCCGCATGCCTGCAGCTTGACGTTCCGCATAGACCTCGCGCATACGTTGTCCAAAGGGGCACTCCGCGCCGCTGATGTTGGACTCCGGGGAGAACATGGTGATGCACAAGGTGCCGTTAGGCGCCAAGAGACCTTTGAGCTTTGCGATGGCTTCCTCAATGCCTTGCCCGGGCAGAAAGTGCAGGACCTCCGAGATCAGAATTCCGGAGAAACCTGCGGGAGTTCGGTCCGGACAATGTTCGCTTCTAGTAACAAGTGCCTTACTAGTAGTAACAAAGTTTGCTAGTAGAAACAATAATTATAGTAATTATCGCTATTAGTAACAAGAAGCTATTAGAGTTCGGTCCGGCAGGAGCTCGTGTCCTTTGTTGGCCTTTCTTCGTCTTTTCTTCAGACATCCAGCCTTTCGATCTACCCTGCTTCTGAGATATTAGTCTTTAGACAATGTTGAATGCTTGAAACAAACTCAAGAAGTTGGTCTTTCAGACCTCCACATTCCGCGGCCATCTCCTGCAAATGCTGAAAGCCATCTGGTAACTTCCCAAAGACCGTCTTCACCCCTGGCAACCGCAGCTCTTCCACAGCATCCAAGTGCTCCTGAGCACAATCACAGGCCACCACTCGCAATCCCTCCTGGTCGGCGTGTGCCCAACGCGCGCCCAAGCGTTCCACGGCAGCAGAGACATTTCGACCATAGGCACAGCCTACATCCAGTAGAGGGTGGACACCGTCATAAGCTGAAATCCAAGAATCCAGCAGAGGACTTGTCTTAGCCATCTCGAAGCCAGTCTGATTTGCGGTGCCCTTCAGTGCTAAAGATGCCATGAGGACAGCGCTCTGCGACAGCTTCTTGGGTGAGGATGTGCAAAAGACTTGAGGCAAAACAGCTGCAGCACGACTTAATGATCATTGAGTTGAGTTGACCTTTGAGGATTTTGCATCAATAGACAACTGACTAGACACAAAGGTTGTGACCTTCAACGTTCCATCTTCCTGTTCCCTTGCACCAAGCCACCGCTTCTGCATGCTGGGCTGTGGCAGGGCCTTCTTTGGGCATGGGAATCGGCGTCACCTCCGCCTGGTCTGCGAGAGGTTCTTCGACAAACCGTCGCAGATCGGCAAGCCGACAAAAGCTCGATTGGACGTCGTTGGCGTTGTTCGTTGGCCACTTCGGCTGCTTGGCCTGGCACCCTGCTGCTTCGATCTCCTTGCGGTGGAAATGCTTGTTCTCCTGAGGAATTTGAAGGATGGTCCTACCCGGTTGTTCGGTTCAGGACACATGTGCCTCGCTAAGACACGAAGCACGGATCAAATCTCTGACTGTTTCGACTTGGCTTTACCGCCCTTTCGAATGGCTTCACAAATCTCAAGGACCTTCACTCGTGACGTTCTGACCAGGATCGGTCATGATGGTTTCATTGCGAAGAGAGAAACATCATCACCAGTGCACCAGTTGCTAGCTAGCTCTTGCAAGTAACTTGAGACTAAGACTCTGCTGGGTTCAAGTACAACCAGCCCTTATAGCGCGGAGCCAGTTGCGCCACCACCGCGGCATCCAAATTGCCTGCGGGTTCCGAGATGCGGTGGCAACTCGAACATCGGCATCACCAGGCTCCACCCTAGTAGCGATGGGCTCCAACCTATATAAAGAGCGTCCGATCGCTCCGTTCGTAGCGATGCCCTTTGCTTCCAGTAGCTTCTTGTTCCTAGTAGTAAGGCCAGGAGCGCCCCTAGTAGCGTCCTTGCTCCTAGTAGCAATGGCCACAGGTTCCAGTTCCCACCCCACCTACCAGGCTCACATCTCCAGGGATCTGTGGTGTGGCAACACCTGGCAGCAAATCGACGAACAAATGCATCTTGAATGATTTTGTATCATCTGTCATGGATGAGACAAGATGCTGATGGCAAAACTGTTTTGGCCTTTCCACAAGCAACTGGATGAAACTTGAAACTTGGCGAAACCTACAGCCAACCCGAGCCGACCAGGGACCTTTGCCAAACGAGTCTGTGGTGCCCAGGAGTTCGGGCTTTAAGCCTTCGCGCCGACCGGTGGAGTAACGAAAGGATGAAGGGAAAAAAAGGAAAAAGAACGAAAAGTCAGCACTTTGGGAACTTTGGTCTTTGGTCCCAGGATTTTTTGGAAGAAAGATATGTGCAGATTCGCGTGGAAATCATGGCTGGGCTGGGGCGTGCATGTAATTGTTGAAAGGCTCCCATTGCGGCGAGTCGTTGCGAGAGATCCTGCCAAGCAAAACGCGATTGAAAGAGCTCTGTGTCTCACACTCCAAGACAATTCTCAGGTCTCACCCGAGATCTGACCCAAAGATGTCGTCAATCCATGGCTTTCCAAGCACCTCCAACCCGAAGGAGTTCTGCCGAGGTGCTCTCAGCTGATGATCCACTGGAGGCTTGGGAGGCACCTCTAAGTCAAGTCGGAAGACATGCAGAACATCTCAAGAGGAAGCTCATGAGAAGAGAATCAACATGAGGAATACTTGGGCCCCCTATGAAAGAAAGGGGCCCAAGTCGACCTTCGTTTCGTCCTGTCTTTTTATTGACCTCTAAGAAAGCCCCTTCCAACTGGAAACTGGAAGGCTTTCAAATCCCTTCTTGTGTCTTCTCCTGTTTTGGTCATTTTGTCTTTAAACCTTAAGACCAAGCTCTGGCCATGACTCTCGCTAGGAACCAGAACGCCTTCGCATGACTGCGACCTGGCGAGTTCGCACTCGACCTTGTTGCACGTCTCGTGCAGTCTCGCACCTTCACTGGGCACGTTCAGCTGCGCTTTGAGGGCCGCGTGCTCTGAGGGAGTTGGCGCAGCCTGCGCGAACACATCCCCCTGTGGACTAACAGCCCCCGAACGAGGAACCTGAAATGAACAAAGTTCTGGATAAGTAATTGTCCTTTTAAAGCAAAATCCTGGAAAAATGACACTGATAAGGGATCAAATCCCCAACCCGCCCCCTTAAACTACCAAAATTACATTGGTTGAAGATCTTCGACAATTAAGGAATCAAATCCCTGAAGGATTCACAATGACATGTTCCCTTTGACGAACCCAAAAACGCCGGCGAGCACAAGTTCACGCACTGTCGCCAGCGCAGGATCTGATGGACTGAATTAGCGTCAACTAGCCGCTGCATCTAGTGCTGTCCTTGTAAAGATGTAGACCAACTGTTGTTCTCAAAGTAGGTGCTCAACAAGCAAACCCTACCCAATGAACTTCATTAATGCAATGATGCATTGTTTGATACGGTCCGCAATTTGGAGAGATCACATGCGATCACTACGTGACAGTTTCAATCTATGTATAGCAAATATAAACCTAATGCGAGCACATGCAAGAACAGCATCAGCTGCGCATCAACGGTTGATCCAGCGTCCGGCAATGGCTAAAAGAAGATATCAAGGATACAACGTTTGATGCAAGGCGTTAGTATTAGTGGGATATGAAACAGGACCCTTTCGTTCTCCATTTCAAACTCCTAGCCTGGGTGGACCAGTCACGCCTATGGCCTATCAAAATGAGCTGGGCAAAGCTGCAGCTAGGGCATGCTGATCATTCAGCTAGTGCAATGAGAGACGTCAGAGGAACACGACGTTCTGCACATTGACCACTGACATGATCAAATCCCCGCGCAGTCCAGCTGCAGGTGGACATGAGCGGCCACACTTGATCAAACTAATCGGCAAGTATGTCAGTGCCTGACGGCCCAACAAACATCAAAAAGAAATTGATTAGCAACGGCATGCAACCAGTGTAACCACATCTTCAACATGGTAGACCGCTCTGGCACACCCACTTGTTTAGCAAACTCCTTCATTCTAAGCATCAGGCGCTTCGCGGGCGAGCTGATGCTGATGATGTGTCATTCTCGGCATGCTGAGGCGATCCGTCGACATGGTAAGGTCCCAAAGGACCATAGGCTCCAACCATTCCGACGCCTCCTTCTGCATGAGGGCGGCGAGCACCCAAGGTCGCGACTCCAAATTGCGGAGCTTGGAATGTCTCCACCGGCTCATCAGGGTGGAAACCCAACTCGATGACCTGCAGGGTCGGCGCAGGCAACAAACATCCGAAATAGTTACCATTAAACACCAACTCAGAATTGACTTGCCACAAGTGGAGTAAAATCTACCCTTCATCCAGCTGGCAGAACTAGTTCTTGGCGCTGAGAACCGTTCATGCATTTTACAGAACTGGGTTTGAAGAAGACCCTTATGACAGAAACAGAGGGAGTTTCATCCTGGTCGCACACCTCAATACATCTTCAGAGTTTCAGAACCATAACTACACCACGTCTGTACGCACAAGCACCAGACTTGATTTCACAAGACCGGTGGCACAACAACCTGCACCAAGTCGATCCTGCCTCTGTGTCGCGTTCATCAGCAATCACTTTGGCCAGCTTCTGGCGCCGTGTTCCAACTTGCAAGATATCCCCTTCTTTCAAGTCTCTTGCAATGCGCTCGGACTTAACTTCATTCTCAAACACGATCACACGATGAGAGGATGTCAGGGTGATTTCAGCTTGGGCAGTGCGTAATGTTCGAAGACGGCGCTTCTTGGATCCCAAAACCTTGGTCTAGCATGTCTATGACAAACTTAGGCCTTGTTTCTGACCCTAACCCTAAAAGCCAGGTATGAAAGTGCTAATCGGTGGTCCACTGTCAAAAATAAGAATCAAGAATTTGAAAACCGTTCTCAGCCCCGACCTTTATTGCAAGCTGGTAGCCTCCTTGCACACAACTTGTAACGTTCGGTCAAGTCCTTCAACATGGTCATCTTCTTGAAGTTGGCGAGCAGTCTTGACCCCGCCGCCTGGAGTTCGGAACAAGGTCTCTGGTAGATAGCATCTCGAACTCTCGTGCAGGTGCCCCACGAACACCCAATCATCATCCCCGTGGCTTTGGAATTCAAAATGGCTCAGAACTCGCCTCGTGCTGTTCGAAGGTGACACGGGACTCTGTGAGCTGAAAACACTTCCGTCTTGTTGCTGAGGAATCTGGAGACCGGAAGGACTATCTTGGACCAAAACATGTAGAGATTGCACGCGGGGCTGCTTTCTCACCCACTGGTGGGCTCTGAAACCGAGAAAGACCATGAGAGGAGGAACAACGATGAGTACCAGAGAAATCACGATGCGCATGTCAATGCAACCTTCTTTTGCATCTTCAATCTTGATATGTTTCTTGGCACCCGGAATCTTGGCAGGATCTAGGCCCAAGGCTTGAAGGATGCCTTCTTTCACCTTCTGCTCATATGCCGCAGGATCTTCTGTGTACTTGGAAAAGTCTTCATTGATTTTGATCTTGTACCTGGCCTCACCAGGCTTGAGCCCTGCCATATCATTTGGAGAGCCAAGAGATCCCGCCACTACTTTCCCATGGATGTTGTACTTGCCAAGGCATTTACATTCCGAGATTGGAAAATATGCCTCCAACTTGCTCTCCAAATGGGATGCCACTTCTTCCGCATTCATGATTCCAAGTCCATTATCCTGCAAGAAAGCGGGAATTTCCTCCTTTGCAATGTAAACCTTCGAGCCCACAGTCTTGGTCTGATACAAGATTGGCATCTTGGGCAGATCCACTATGCACGGCTGAGGGGGATCATGTGCTTGCAATGCGCCGAGGTTAGGCCTCCTCAAGCATTCAACGCTGTCCACGATGCAGCGCGTCAACATCCCACGATCATAAAGGTCGTTGAGGGAATCAATTGATCTGCACATCATCTTCAATTTGGGTCGCAAATGCAACGGATCGCAGGCTGGATCAGAATCGGTTGCGAGTTTTTTCCCGTACTAATATCCAAGTCCTGCTGCCACTGCCACTCCTGCTGCTCCTGTTGCCACTCCTGCTGCCATTCCTGCTGCTTGTGGTGGGACATGAGCGGCAGCTTCAAGAAACAACACATCGCCAAAAGCCTTGGTGACTTCCCCAAATTCCACAACATTGCCCAAAGCGTTGGTGGCCACTCGGCCGTCTTCCACTCGAGCACTAGCTGGAGAAAGCCTCCGGCTGGTTTGATTGCCCATTCTGTCTTGGATTGACTTCCTGCGGCTAGTAGGCCCTCGATCGCTTCGAGCCACAATTCATCATGCCAAGCTTGACCGATTCAGCCATGTGTCCATGCTGCAACAACGGCAACGTCACACCAACATAATGACACATAAAAAGCAACAGATGGGAATGAGTCTGTTTATTGGCATTGGGTAATGGCAACATCGCCAGTTCTACATGCGTTGTGTCTTTGCTGGGCACGCTTTGTTCCAAAGTGTGAACCTTGTCAATGTGCCGCATGAGCATACCAACACCGCAGTACATCGGCGCAGCACATGTGCCCAACATGCGCAAGCAAAACAGGGAACCTCCTCCGAAACCCACTTGGGGCTTGCTTGCAAGTCAGCACGACAGCATGACCCGACTTCAGCATCTCAGCGTGACAACGTACCGGCATGTTAGTGTGACCCTGGCAGGGCGCCAGCATGACACGTGACAGCTTAACAACATGTCGGCGCGACACTCCGCCAGCACATCAGGGTGACAACATGAATCATGTCCGTGTGTCCACACGTCCGAGTGACGGTGCGACACACAACACACCAACATGACACAATGTAACTGTCAGCGAATCGGCATGGCAACACCTACGAATTTCAGAATCACGGCATCGCAGGACAGCAAGTACTGCACAACAGCCTGACATCGGCATGACGACGTGTCAGCATGATGACGCGTCAGCAATACACCACAGTGCGAGAACAACGGCATGTCAGCATATCTCTGCAAAATGCTCCGGAACATGCTCCAGAATGTCCACCGGAGCTCCTGTGAAAGCTCCGGAACCTGACCCAGAACCTACTCCAGAACTTGCTCCGGAGTTTCCTCCAGAACCAGTTCCGGAAGTGTTTTAGAATTTGTTTACCTGCTCCGGAACCTGCTCCGCGACTTGCTCTGATCTGCTCCGAAGTCAAAGAGCCACGTTTATATAGAAGTCTGATGAAATCTCTGTGTGCGTTGATTCTTCTCCAAGTGTTATCCAATCTCTGTCAGACTTGCTTCAAACCTTGAGAGTGCTTCCAGCCCTTGACCAAATACTTCCCTGCTCTCGTGCCTTCGTCTCAACCTGCTCTGCCTGCACACGTGAAGACAGTGTCCCATCTTTTCGTCCCATCTTCGACCACGACAAGTTCGTTGCGCAACATGACATCAGTTCTTGCAGTTCTTACAATTAATAACATGTGAGAATCCAATACATGTTAATGATAATGGAATTCTTGGCCTTCTTGTGCTGCTCCCAAGGCTCCCAGAACATGTACTTGCCATACCTGAGCACCGGATCTTTGGATTCTTCGCTCCTAGTAGCTTCTTTGCTCCTAGTAGTAAGGCCAGGAGCCCCTAGTAGCGTCCTTACTCCTAGTAGCGATGCCCTTTGCTCCTAGTAGCGTCCTTGCTGTGATTTAACCAAGTGCTAATCCATGTTAAGATAAATCGAGATAAAACAGCAAGATGATGCGAGTTGCCATCGGCCATTGGGCATGGCATGCCAATAGACATGCTCAAAGACATAGCGTTTCCTCAGACACTGCCGCTCTTGAAGGAACTGCAGGTGAAGACTGATCCATTGGAGAATCCACAAGAGAGTGGGTTCGGATGCGCGAGTTCACCGATGGCACTGGGCCCAACTTATCAACTTCTCTCTCACCCTTTCCGAGTTCGCCGGAATGTGACAGTGACACTTCCTGCACGGTGCACAAGGATAACACACACTCCTGGTGCTCTCTCTACGCACAGTGCAACTCCAAGTCTCAACCAAAAGAAGAAGGTATTGGGTTTCGTTTGATTCAACGGCTTGAAGGTCGGGATGGCCTGGCAAAAGGAAAGAAAAACATGGGCTGATCTTGCTAGTTTTCTTGTGCCTTCTTCCTTGTAAACGGATGTGACGGACATCCATGGTAGTTCGGTGTCCCGTGTCCGGTGTCCGAACCACATGACTTCCGACACCAACTGCGCCCGCGCGCTGCGCTCGCTGCACTCGTTCATCCGTCCAAACCGGTTGAACCGCCTCCATGGTGTAACCGTTGAACTCCGCCAACATGAGCTTGCTGTCCTCAAGGCAAAAAGAGAACGCAGGGCAGCAAGAAACGTGTGAAAGCCTGACAGTGTCAGTGTGGAAGAGAAAGAGGATGCGTTGATCCAAAAGAGGCAACTGAAGTTGATTGGTCATGATGTCATCCGAAGTGGTCCAAAAGTGGAAGAAAATGTAGAAATTCAGCAGATCCTGCCGCGTAGCAGGCCTCTTCATATCTCTAGGCCTTGCTGGCAAGGAGCCCCCAGCAAGACAGGACAGGCCGTATATCCATCGTAGATTCGAGTAGCTGGCTTCTGCTCCATAAGAGCTTTTACCTCAAAATCAACTGCAGCAAAACGTCCAAAGACGCAACTGCAAATCCGACGCTCGTTTTTCTTAGTAGCTTCTTGTTACTACTAGTAAGGCACTTGTTACTACTAGCGATGCACTTGTTCCTAGTAGCGTGGCACTTGTAACTGCAGTTGCATGTCCAAGAGTAGTACCTCAAGCAAACAAATCCTATCTGAAACGAGAAAACGGTCGCCCCCTCCGTCGTCGCCAGTGCCAGACTGACAGACCGAGGTGCGTTGCTGACCACCACCGGTGCTTGGGAAGAGACTGCAGAGTAGGTCCTTAGAGCTGAAACCCGGATGAACATAGGAACAAGAAGCTACTAGGAGCACGGGCATCGCTACGAACGGGGCTCCTGGCATCGCTACAAGGAGCAAGGACGCTAGTAGGTTGGCCTGGATGAACAGTAAACAAGCAATCAAGTCGCTCTTGTTCTTTTACTCGTCTGGCCGACAAAAAAGGAACCAGAAAGAACTGGTGTTTTTACAGAGGGGTTTAGGGCCCTTTAGGGCCCTTTAGGGGTAGTCGGGGTAGCTGGGTCCGGTCCCCCGGGATGCCGGGAACCAACCGCGCTCGCGGGAGTGCCGAGGGTCTTCGAGGTGGGCAGCGAGGAGCAATCGCCCAGGGCGAAGACGTTGGGAAACTTCGTGTGTTGACAGGTCTCCTAGGAGCAAAGGGCATCGCTTCTAGTAACAAGTGCCACGCTAGTAGTAACAAGTGCCTTACTAGTAGTAACAAGAAGCTATTAGAATTAAAGTTAAGTTAACAATTACCACTTTTTAGACCTAACTCTTCTGCGTGCTGAGTTCATCTGCCAGTGCAAAGACCGCGGTGGGGGAGTTCAGACTAGCCGCCAACCTGTCCTTGCCGCTTGGAAGAGCTACACCGACACTAGAAGTCACTAGAATTCCGTGCAAAGCTCCTTTCCGGGTGCAAAACTACCGCTCCCACTACTCCCGCAGCTCCTTATTCACATCAATGAAGCCAATGGCGTTTGCCAATGGACTGCTCCTCAGCTCAGTTTCTGTGGCAAACTAAGACTCAAGTTCTGTATCAATCGATCGGTATGCAGCTGCCTGGCTGATTTTGTCATGCTGTATATGGTATACAAAATAGCCTTCATTGCCCCAGAGGATGAGTAGACCAGGTTGGGCAAATCAAAATCATCTGAAACAAAGTGTGTCATCCATGCTGTGCCCAGCCTTGTCTAGAAGACCCTCCGAAGAAATGGTCAAGAGTAGGAAACGCTGCCCATGGTGTAGACATGTGGCAGGGATTGTGATTTCTTCCCCTCTAAGACAACATTGTCGTCCATGGGGCTCTGCAACAAGGAACACAAGCCACCCAAAAGAGGTGGCCACTTGTCAGGGATGCAGCATGCTTCAAAGCACCCTGCGGGTGCAAGACACCACGAAGCAAACAAAACCAGCCTTTGGTTGGTTCGTCACCCTGAAAATCTAAAAATTCCTACGGCCTGAATTTCAGGTTCGCAAATGTGATGTACAGATCGCTATTGCAGCAAACGTGGCAACTCATCACCATTCCTAGAAAAATGGGATCGTTGAAAAGCCGTGCAAAGCGCTTCATCTTGTAACCCATGGTTGCCGCATCACCATCTTGTAAGCATTGGACCAAAACAAGTTCCAACACGTCAAAAAACAACCTGGCAGGGAAGGAAACACACAGCGGCCAGTCCAAGCGCGTGGCGTAACCCTTATGGCGAAACATGTGTTCACAAACCTACTAGCGATGGCCTCCACCCTAGTAGCACACAAGCCCTGTGAACTGGATTTGGAAACTACAGAAATACTTTATGTTTTTTGTCCACCACACCGCTCTTTTTCAAAACCTCACATGGCAGCTGGCACAATCCACTGCATGAGTTCCCTTGGCTGTGAATGGTCGTGGACTCGGTTCAAGACATCCTTGGAGGGCGTCAGTCGGATCAAGGTACCGGCCGCAAGGAGCATGACGCTGCTCGCGATCTTGATGATAATCCGCGCACGATAGCGGCAGAACATGATCCCACCCAGCTGAACCGTCATGAACTGGTAGAAGCTGAAACGCCCTGGGTCGCGGAAGCCTTCCCAGACCTGGCAAATTTGGACGCCCATAGAAAATACGCTTAAGATCTTCCAGGGAATAGGTGCTAGAAAGGGACGGTTTTTGAAAGGAAAGAAAACTTGGAAAGATCTATGCACTGTTTGTTTTGTCAGAAGAGCCCGAGCCCTCTGAGTAAAAAGGGTTAAAATCGCCCGCCTACCGTTGGCGCCTGCTTTGCAGTAGTCTGATAAATGTCCAGAAACTACACCAGCATAGACCCAAATAACTAGGCAGAATCCCACGACCTGTTGAAATGCGAGTGGCTGGAACAAGAATGTGCGCAGCCTGCGCAGCCAGCTTACGGCACCTCCACAGCGCGCACAACCAGCTGACACCAGCACCAGTGCGCTTTGCCAGCTGGCCCTATAGCTATCTGGGGGAATAACAACGTATACGATCTTGAGCGTATAAGTTTACGCACAAACGCATGCGCACAAACAGAAAAGTAAGTGTCATTGGCCCAAGGCCAAGCAGTATCCAGCGCCACTATTGACTTTGTAGCATGCTTGAAGCAACGATCTGTAGAAAAATAAGGCTGTGTGATCTTGCGCGTATAAGTTTACGCGCGCAAAAGTATGCGCACAAACGGCAAAGCCCGTAGGCTTCACTCGCCCAAGGCCAAGCAGTATCCAGCACGACCATTGTGTGTGTAGCATGCTGAAACATGCTGAAACAATGGCCGGTTGAGAGCCTGACGTTGCGCAGAGAACATCATACGTACAAAAGTATGCGCGCAAACCGCACAGCCCTTGACACCGCTTTCGGCCAAAACAGAACCTGAAGAGTGTAAATACCCCACAGCGCTAATAGACAAAGAACGCTCAAGCGACAACACCGTATGATGTTGCGCGCATAAGTTCACGCGGCCCATGACTGCTGGCACTTCACTGTCAGAAGCGGCTGCTGGTCACCCTTCACTGCTACAAGCGGTGGTTTGTCACCCTTCACTGTCAGAAGCGGCGGTTGTTGTCACTCACGCGCACAGCCAGCAGCACCAGCACCAGCGCCGGCACCCTGTCTCCACCACGCACACAGCCAGCACCCAGCACCCACCACGTGCACAGCCAGCTCACAGCACCAGCACCAACAACCTGTCTCGAAAGCGCGCGCAGGCAGCTCATTGTTATTTGAAGTAAGAGCCCCAGCCACAGGCTCGCTATCTGGTGAAAAAGATCCGATAATAGACCCCCTCACATATGCAAGCTGGACCACCAGCACCAGCACAGCACCGGCACCGGCACCCTGCCTCCACCACGTGCACAGCCAGCTCACAGCACCAGCACCGGCACCGGCACCCGGCACCAGCACCAGCAACGTGTCTCGAAAGCGCGCACGGGCAACTCATTGTTGTTTGAAAAGTAAGAACCCCATAGCTTCGCTATCTGGGAAAAACGCGATATACCGAGTTAGGTCGGTCGAGCCCCTAGTAGCGAACATTGTTCCTAGTAGCTTCCTGCTCCTAGTAGTACGGCCAGGAGCCCCTAAGTAGCATTGTTCCTACAGATATCCAAAAAAGAAAAGAAAAGAGGCGCCGGAAAGATTGGTCAAAGTTCAAGTCTTTCCAAAGCACTCTGACTCCTCCTTATTGCATCATAGTGCATCGTTGTTTGTCTCGTTTTGGTCGAACAAATCTACACTCAAGAAGGTCTTGTTGTTTTTCTGACTGCTTCTCGATCTTTGTTGCTCTCAAAGCTTTCTTGGGAAAGCATTGTTTGGAGGTCCTTCAGGCGAGCTGAATACCGATCCGATGAACAACAAATGTTCGTTCAACCTTGGGCTCGGCCCGATCCTTCCCACCCCGAAGTGAAAAAGCAAGAAATGAACATAAAATAGTAATAGAGAGAGAGAGAGGGAGGAAAACAAGTGCATCTTCTCTGTGAATGTTTGAACTTCTGGACGACTGCACACCTGGCGCCACTCGCCGTTGCTCTTCTCCACGGCATCCCGTGCGATGACGGTATCAAAGGACGAATGCGCATCCTCACTCTGAAGGATGAAGCGATTCTGTTGTCGGTCTTTTGCCGTTTTGTAGGCCCACTCTTTGAACTCAGCCCCAAAGTCACTGGGGACGTTCACCAACGTCACCTGAACTGGCAAAAGTCCACGGAAAAGTAGCAGGAATCTGAGTGGCGTGTCGTTAGCTGTTGTGCTGCAACTGCTTGTCCGCAAACATACACCCGCCTTGGTCTCTGCGAAGCAAAAGCTGGTAGAGTGGGTCTGCTTGGGATAGCCACAGTCGATGGTCCAGGTGAAGACCGAGGTGAGGAAGTAGGGCAATTCCAAGAAATCCCCCAACATCTTCACGATGAAGATGCAGATCTCATAAGCTCGCGAGGAAGCTACACGAACCTGACACAGACGAAGCACAAAGAGGCTTCTGGACATGCAACACATCCTACGGCCCAGAAAGTCTTTACAGCATCTGTCTGGCGCCGAGATGGATGAAACATGATGAAACAACTCCTGCTCCTGCCAAGCCATGCTGAGGTCACCACTTCGAGGTTTTACCCTTTCCGTGATGTCCATCCATGTCACCATGGATGCCACTGGACACTCTCCGATAGCCTCCGGTCTACCGGAGACCCCCGCCGCACGGGACCGCCTCGCTCACGCCGAGGAAGAGCTTCCACGTCGGAATGCCCATGAGCTCGGCGGACTGCAATGCCGGAGAGGACGACATACCAAAGTGATAGACGTCGTAAACGAAGTCCTTGAAGACAAGAAGCTAGTAGGAACAAGTGCATCGCTACTAGTAACAAGTGCCTTACTAGTAGTAACAAGAAGCTATTAGAAACAAAGTCCTTGAAGACCATGCAAATCACCACCGGTACAGATTCCGTCATATACCTTAGCTGTCTGGCGCTTTCACTGCTTGGACAAAAATTGGAGCCCTACTCTGTGGACGGAACATCAACAGCGCAAAGGCGGCCCAGGCGGCCAAGGCGGCCAAGCTACATCATCTCCCGAACGTACATGTAGCGGTGCATGTCTAAAATCACTGTGGCAAAGTAGAGCATGCGCTGCCTTTGCAAGTCCTTCATCGGAGCCAATGTGTCGAAGAGCAACAATCCAATCTGCCACACTTTCCCGAGCAAGGGCATGTAGACTGGTGGCGTGGCGGCTGCGTGGCTGCATTGCTTGGTTCATGTGATTTGGTTTTATCCAATGAATTTAATTAACTATTCTGGGCATCTCTGGGCATGGTTTCATGTGAACTCATTGCACGTAGAGTGTCGTTTCTGGAGCGACCCGGCCTTGCATGAATCCCAACAGGAATGCCAACTCCACGATGGCTCTCACCAGTGGGTCTGGTGCCCCAAACTCTCCATCTCCGAAAGCCTTGAAGAGAAGCAAGACCAAGTGTGAGGAACTGATGAAAATGAGGTCTGCCACCAAAATGACGATGATCACCACAAATCTCTTGGTTGCGAAAAAGCGCTCCTCTCGACTGTATTGCCCCTTGGCTGCTCAAAAAACCGCCTTTTGCCGATCAAAAACCAAAAGCCACCAAAAAAGATCAAAACAGAAATAAACAAACAAAAAACAACAAAGTAAATATACCTTCCATCAAAAAATTGCATGAAAACCTGGCCAAGGCGCGTACAGGCACAAAGGCATCCACGCAAATACGGCCGCAGAAGCACCCACGGGAAAGTTGAGTTTCATCAAGCCCCATGCATCATCTGAGCCCACCGTGTTCACCGCCAACCACAGCCTCAGTGCCGAACGTTGTACTTTCTGAACATGTCGAAGCGGAAAAAAAAAACGAAACGGAACAAGAACCTTCGTTTCTGATCAAAGTCTCTCCCATCTCCCACATCGCCCACTCTGAAGTTCGGAAAAGAGACATGTGGATGAGAAAGGAGAAGAGTGGCCACATTATGGCAAGAAGCCAATACAACCACTTGCGGTGACCTCCCATCATGCGGAAACAAGCCACAAGCTTAGTTACAAGCATCAACCCGAATAAACATACCCTGAAGCTGCTTGCAGCACACACCATTGCAGAAATGAAAGATTCATCAAAACCAACAGCGACGTTGCCAACAATTCAGTGTTTCAGGTAACATCCCCAAAACACGTGGATTGGTTCTTGAGCAGTTGAATAAACACACTCCGATTCAGCCATTGACTTAAGTACTGCTGCAGTCCCACCTTTCGCTGGCTCTGGCAAAAAGGCGTAGAAAAAGGCCGAGAACATGAGGCCCTTCACAATCATGAAGTAGTTGTCGAAGACTAGTGTGTACCACCAGAAGTGCTGGTGCCCATCTCCTTCATTCACAACATTTGCCGTCATGAGCCAAAGATTGTTCAAGATCACCGGGGACAGTGTCCCAATCAGCAAGATCACTGTCAAGAAGGAAGAATTTGCCTTTGCTGCAATGGATGGATAGGCCGTTTGCTCTTCAGCAGTTAGGCCCATTGGAGGAGGATCCGGACCAAGGTCCATACGGTTCCTCAGTTGCTGTTCCAAAGCTAAGACATTCTTGGCCTCATGTTCCGTCAAAGCTTCCAAGGGCTTCATGAATTTGTATTTTGATGGAGAACTTCGTGGTCGAAGCTTCACCAAGACCGGAGATGTCTGGTAGATGCGTGCACAATGCCAATTTTGTTCCTCATCGTCCCGCACCACCACCAGCTGTCCGACATGGTAGTTCAAAGCCATAGAGCTCGTGGATTTCTTGAGGAGTCCCAATCCGTCTGAGGTCCTAAATGGCTGAGGAAGAAGGAAGCTGATTGAGATGATGGCCTCCAACCCAAGAGCGATGGCGCGATGGCCTCCAACCTAATAGGGAGGCTCTTTGAGATTATTTTCCTGAGCCAACCAGTCACACTTCGAAGCTGTAGAAAACATTAGAAGCTTCCATGTTCATCATGTCCCATGAGCAAGTGATTCACTGTCCAAGTGATCAACGCCTACGCGTGGCCAGTACCTTTACTCAGTTCGGCGTTACGGGTTCAAACGATCCCGTGACAAACCCAGCAGGAAGGATCGACAGGAAGGGATACGCCACGGCGAATACGCAGAAGGAGGCCCAGGAGCCCCTAGTAGCATCCTTGCTCCTAGTAAAAACAAGTGGAGAGACTCTCACTCCGATCCACCTGAAAATCTTTACCGGAAAAAGGCTGTTGGTGTCACAAGCTCAATATACCAGGCAATCTCCCGCAAGGCAGAGAGGTGCAAGGAAGCAAGATGTCCTACACCTTTGCGTAAATCTACTCGTCTGTACTCGCTGGTCCTCTCTACCCATGTCTCGACAAAAAACTCAACTTTTCGATGCCTTACTGCACTTTGCTCTAGAAAATATCTTTTCTAACCTCCACATGTTTCTACACTTTTCTCTACACGTTTTGTTTGAAAATACTCTGTTCTTTTCTTTGAATCTCCTGAAAATCTCCACCTCATGCAGCGTGAGATGCTTTTCACCACTTTTCACCGGCACACATCCACCTGCGCATCTACACCGACTCCTCCAGCCCGATCTTAAAACAAGCTGACGAACGAGCTGACGAACGACCATGAACGACAAGAACTGCCAACTCGCGACGGATTTTTGTTCAACTTTGCACGCCTGTTAAGCGTAGTTTGACACACGCCTGCGCGTGAGAAGTTCCTGAAACGCGGTTGCTGCAATGCGTGTAGTGTCTGAAACGGAGTTTAACCCATATCAACAGCATTGCCACAAGTGCAAGGATTGCCACCCGCATTTGGACAGGCTGGCAAAGACGCAAACACGCGCCTTTTCTGGTTGGAAGCGTATCTCTGCGGCTGGCCGTTGCAGGATGAATAGACAAGGTTGGGCTGTTGAGCAATCGAAAAGAATCTTGTTGTCGTGTGAAACCATGTGACACTCCGCCTAGCCTTGTCCACTAAACCCTAGCAAAGGGCAAAAAAGCATGCAAAGGCTGTGTGCATGGCCTCTATCTAGCATAGCCAGAAGAACAGCCGGAACAGTGACAAAAGCCAGCGAAAGCAAGTCTACGCATTCCCTTCGGATCCTTTCAAGCTCTTCCAAATGTCATCTTTTTCCGTCACGGCACCAAACCTAAGTGTCCTCTGGCTTTCGCACCACAAGTTGCCGGAGCCTGCTTTCAGGGCGATAGGCACTAAACACAACTCTAGGCACTGAACTGCAGGTTGGCAAATGTGATGTACAGATCGCTGTTGCAGCAAACGTGACAGCTCATCACCATCCAAAGGAAGAAAGGCTCGTTGAAGAGCCGGGTAAACCGCTTCCTCTTGTAGCCCATCGTCGCAGCATCGCTATCTTGTAAGCATGCAACCAGGGCCAGCTCCAACACATCTAAGAAAAGCCTCGCAGGGAACAAAACGAAGGAAACGACCAAGCCAAGTTGTCTTGTCTTCAGGAACCTACGCGGCGAAACCCCTTGAACAGACCCTATGAAGTCAGCTCGCATGTACCCCACCACCCTTTTTTCAACACCTCACATGGCAGCTGGCACGATCCACTGCATGAGTTCCCTTGGCTGTGAGTGGTCATGGACTCGGTTCAAGACATCCTTGGAGGGCGTCAGTCTGATCAATGTGCCAGTGGTAAGGAGCATGATACTGCTCGCGATCTTGATGATAATCCGCGCACGATAGCGGCAAAATATGATACCACTGAGCTGCACAGTCATGAACTGGTAGAAACTGAAGAGGCCAGGGTCGCGGAAGCCTTCCCAAACCTGGCAAACATGAAAAACATGTTCAACCTGGAAAATAAACATTGGACAAACCTAGAGGCACTTGAAAAGCTTTGTGAGTGGCAGCGGGCACTTAAGTCTGAGACCTACAGGGCAGAAGCGAGGCCAAACAAGAGGAAACCCAGAAACAAAATTGCCAAGCATGTTGATCTCAGACGGCGTGAAACTCGCAGCTTTTCAAGGACACTCTTGTTTCAACACTCTTGCGGCACTTGCGCGTCACTCTCTCCAGTGCCACACTCTTGCTTGGCACTCATGTGCGACACTCTTCTAGACAACTCACACGATGGCCTGAAACCTAAGAGCAAAAGGAACCTAGTAGGAATGGCCTCCAACCTACTAGTGATGGCCTCCAACCCAATAGCGATGGCCTCAAGCCTAGTAGCGCGATGGCCTCCAACCTACTAGCAGGGGATAGATCTTTTTTGTCGGCCGGGTGGCTGGTCATCGGTGAGATGTGACCGGATGGCCTTTTTCGGGATGGCCGGATGGCCGGATGTAGCGATGGCCTCCATCCTATGGCCTTTTTCGCGTCAGCAATTGCGAAGGAAGCGCTCATCTTGCAGACTTGACGCATCCCTTTTGGAGAACGGCTCGAACCAAATGCTCGTGCACAGGGATATGGAGGCGATAGTGAACAACTTCCACAGTGGCCGCAACCAGCCTCCTCCATCACAATCTTGCATCTAGGAAACAGAAAGGCGACTGCAAGATACTGCCAACACCATTCTTTCTCAGAAAGCCCGCAGGATTAAGCTGCGCAACATGGTTCTTTGTAAATGGCCACCGCAATCGGGCCAGAGGCACTCACCCCTGAAAACTCGGATATCCCATTCTCCCCTGGCGTCGGTCAACCACCCAGGGCTTACGGGAGGCCATCGCTAGTAGGTAGGCCATCGCGATAAGTCCAGATCATCTGGCAAACCCAGAACCGATGCCCTTTAAGGCTTCGCGGACAACCACGGAGAGCGCCCTCATCCGCAAATCCAGCGCCTACAGTTTGCGTGGAGCCTCCAGAAGCCTCCCTCATCTTGTGGTACCATCTGCTCGACATGTTTTTGCAGACCCTTTGCTAGAAGAATCTAGAACGTTGCTCATGTGTGTATGTGCCCTGCACCAGAGCTTTAGCAAAGTTGATGTTCCGAACACTTCTTCCCACTCTGTGTCTTGACGAGTTGTAGGCAAGGGTATGGGTAGTGCAAGGGTTGCCTCACGGCATCGTCTCATCGAAGCCTGTGGAAACCACGGCGTTGACACATGGCTTCTTGTCTTTTTGTTCTCCACTTCCTGCTGCCACAAAAAGCAAACATTTGAGACAAACATTTGGGGGCACATTTGCGATAGCACACGTGAGACATGTTGGGCCATGTAGATCATGTAGGGAACTTGGTCGTGTAAGCGTGCGCTGGAAGAGTATCAAGCAAGGGTGTCGCACAAGAGCATCATGACTGCGAACACATCATGCAGCCTTAGCCAAGCCTAAATCCTTGTGGCACAGCGACCATCACCCTCATCAAAGGCTGCAAACTTATGATTCCCAGCGCCACGACAAGTAATGATGTTAGACATATCTAGCGAAATGTGCGACCAGCCACACGCTTGGAATGATTTCCCTCACAGTCGCACCGAAAATTCTTCGAAGCAAACCCAAGAGCAAATCCCAAGGGCAAACAAACCAGCACGGTCAACCTTATGAAATGGCCTCCAACCTACTGACGATGGCCTCCAACCTACTAGCGATGGCCTCCAACCCAGTAGCGATGGCCTCCAACCTAGCAGCGATGGCCTGCAACCTAGTAGCGATGGCCTCCAACCCAGTAGCGATGGCCTCCAACCTACTAGCGATGGCCTCCAACCTACTAGCGATGGCCTCCAACCTAGTAGCGATGGCCTGCAACCCAGTAGCGATGGCCTCCAACCTAGTAGCGATGGCCTGCAACCTAGTAGCGATGGCCTCCAACCCAGTAGCGATTCGCGATGGCCTCCAACCTACTAGCGATCCTAGTAGCGATGGCCTACTACTAGGAGCAAGTAGCTACTAGGGCTCCTGGCCGTACAACTAGGAGCAAGGACGCTAATTACTAGGGGCTCCTGGCTGTACTACTAGGAGCAACGACGCTACTAGTAACAAGAAGCTACTTTGCTGTATTCATGATGTTGTCAGTCTGAGCCAATTGAGCCATCCTCACACGTGGAACCAAACGGCAGGAAAACGCGATAAAAGGAAGGTCCAGAGTCTAAAGGTTTCTAAAGAAGAAAAGCAGGAAAGGAAGCAATTGGGTAGGTCTAAAGATATGGAACTACAAGAAGTCCATCTTCGGTCGATATGTTCGTTTTTGCACTTTTTCCACTGCCCAATTTGGACCTTGCGCCACTCCCCGTTGCTCTTCTCCACGGCATCCCGTGCGATGACGGTATCAAAGGACGAATGCGCATCCTCACTCTGAAGGATGAAGCGATTCTGTTGTCGATCTTTTGCCGTTTTGTAGGCCCACTCTTTGAACTCCGCCCCAAAGTCACTGGGAACGTTCACCAACTTCACCTGGACGGGCAATCGAGCGGCCCCCAAGTCGGTCGTTGCTTTTTTCGATCCAAAGAAAGAAAGGAAACACCTTCAAAAGCGTTCTTGTTCGAAGTAAGGGGTTTCCTAACCATTTCTGACGTGTCATTCTGACTTGTTTTTTTCGTGCACCGCCTCAGTCTCCGCGAAGCAGAAGCTCTTTGAAGAAGTGTGCTTGGGGTAGCCACAGTCGATGGTCCACGTGAAAACACGCGTGAGGCACCGAGGGAGCTCCAAGAAATCCGACAAGAGCTTCACCACGAAGATGCAGGTCTCGTAGATTCGAGAAGAAGCCACCCGAACCTGACTGAGAGGTCCGGGACAGCGGAGAACATGCATCCGTTTCTAAGAGAAAAACAGAAGGAAAACAAAAACCACTAAAGAACGAAAGAACAAAAAGGTAGGAAAGAAAAAGACTGTTGGGGCCCTAATTACAGGAAAAGAAGACCTTTCAATGCTACCTTCCGTTAGATCATGTTAGATCCTTCTTTAAAAGGCATCGCGAAAAGAGCAGTCACAAGAGCGACATGACCTCCAAGAGTTTTTCTCTTTCCTGAGGTGCCTCACTCGCTCCCAGGAAAAGCTTCCAGGTCGGAACGCCCATGAGCCACGCCGACTGCAGAGCTGGAGATGAGCACATGCCAAAGTTATAGACATCATACACGAAATCCTGGACGACAATGTTCGCTAGTAGGAACAAGTGCCTTACTACTAGTAACAAGAAGCTAGTAGTAACAAGTGCATCGCTACTAGTAACAAGTGCCTTACTACTAGTAACAAGAAGCTAGTAGGAACAAGTGCATCGCTACTAGTAACAAGTGCCTTACGACCAAGAGCTAGTAGACTTGGAGGCCATCGCTAATAGGATGGAGGCCATCGCTAGTAGGGAGGCCAAGGAAAATCCTTGAAGACCATGCAAATGACCACCGTCACGGAGTCGGTCGCATACCTCGTTCTCAGAAGATTTCGAACGGAGGCCCGAAGAAAAGGAACCATCAAATCGAGGAGCAAAAGATGTTGAAAAGTCAAGCTACATCATATACCTTAGCTGTCATATACCTTAGCTGTCTGGCGCTTTCACTGCTTGGACAAAAATTGGAGCTCTACTCCGTGGACCGAACATCAACAGCGCAAAGGCGGCCCAGGCGGCCAAGGCGGCCAAGCTACATCATCTCCCGAACGTACATGTAGCGGTGCATGTCTAAAATCACTGTGGCAAAGTAGAGCATGCGCTGCCTTTGCAAGTCCTTCATCGGAGCCAATGTGTCGAAGAGCAACAATCCAATCTGCCACACTTTCCCGAGCAAGGGCAGGTAGACTGGCCGGGTGCGAGCATGTAAGGCATGCCAACGTTTGGTTCTCACAAAAACGGTGTTTCCCTTTCGTGCTGAGTCAATTGAGCTAAGACTCGAGCACCTGTTCTAAAGCGTGCTAAAGAAACCTGCTGACCCCCACGCTGGATGTGTGCGTGGCGAATGGTACAGAAGAAGAACAACAATGGCCTTGAGACACTGAAGCATGGTGAGGGTGGTGCTTATCCTGGCGCGCCCGAGCATGTGCACGTTGAGGGATTCTCCACATCCAACACGCTGGCACATGAAATGGACACCGCACCAGCCGCGCGAGTCAACCCTTTTCCGCTGCGCAAACATTCCACCCTAGTTCCCTTCCTTTCCCTTCCTTTTCCTGCTTCGCTTGTCTCCTTTTCTCCATCCCTTGCGACGACCAAACTCCAAACCGCTTGGTTGATGGCGCATTAGCTGCAATGGCTGCAAAATGCTGCAAATAAATTAAGTTTGGCGGAGGTTAAAGAGAGCGACCCGGCCTTGCATGAATCCCAACAGGAATGCCAACTCCACGATGGCTCTCACCAGTGGGTCTGGTGCCCCAAACTCTCCATCTCCGAAAGCCTTGAAGAGAAGCAAGACCAAGTGTGAGGAACTGATGAAAATGAGGTCTGCCACCAAAATGACGATGATCACCACAAATCTCTTGGTGGCGAAAAAGCGCTCCTCTCGACTGTATTGCCCCTTGGCTGCTCAAAACACCGCCTTTTGCCGATCAAACACCAAAAGCCACCAAAAAAATACAAAACAAAAATAACCAACCAAAAAACAACAAAGTAAATATACCTTCCATCAAAAAAATTGCATGAAAACCTGGCCAAGGCGCGTACAGGCACAAAGGCATCCACGCAAATACGGCCGCAGAAGCACCCACGGGAAAGTTGAGTTTCATCAAGCCCCATGCATCATCTGAGCCCACCGTGTTCACCGCCAACCACAGCCTCAGTGCCGAACGTTGTACTTTCTGAACATGTCGAAACGAAACGGAACAAGAACCTTCACGTCTTTTCAAAGTCTCTCCCATCTCCCACATCGCCCACTCTGAAGTTCGGAAAAGAGACATGTGGATGAGAAAGGAGAAGAGTGGCCACATTATGGCAAGAAGCCAATACAACCACTTGCGGTGACCTCCCATCATGCGGAAACAAGCCACAAGCTTAGTTACAAGCATCAACCCGAATAAACATACCCTAAAGCTGCTTGCAGCATACACCATTGCAGAAATGAAAACAAGATTCATCAACAGCGACGTTGCCAACAATTCGGTGTTTCAGGCAACATCCCCAAAACACGTGGATTGATTCTTGAGCAGTTGAATAAACACACTCCGATTCAGCCATTGACTTAAGTACTGCTGCAGTCCCACCTTTCGCTGGCTCTGGCAAAAAGGCGTAGAAGAAGGCCGAGAACATGAGGCCCTTCACAATCATGAAGTAGTTGTCGAAGACTAGAGTGTACCACCAGAAGTGCTGGTGCCCATCTCCTTCATTCACAACATTTGCCGTCATGAGCCAAAGATTGTTCAAGATCACCGGGGACAGTGTCCCAATCAGCAAGATCACTGTCAAGAAGGAAGAATTTGCCTTTGCTGCAATGGATGGATAGGCCGTTTGCTCCTCAGCAGTTAGGCCCATTGGAGGAGGATCTGGACCAAGGTCCATACCGTTCCTCAGTTGCTGTTCCAAAGCTAAGACATTCTTGGCCTCATGTTCCGTCAAAGCTTCCAAGGGCTTCATGAATTTGTATTTTGATGGAGAACTTCGTGGTCGAAGCTTCACCAAGACCGGAGATGTCTGGTAGATGCGTGCACAATGCCAATTTTGTTCCTCATCGTCCCGCACCACCACCAGCTGTCCGACATGGTAGTTCAAAGCCATAGAGCCCTTTTGGCAAGGTCCAAAATGACTGAGGCAGCAAACACACAAGCTTCCCACATACATAGCCATTACCTGTTATCACTCACTCCTTTCACATTCAGACCTGAGAGGACTTATATAAGACCTTTGAGAGGACCTGAGAGTCTTGTTTCTGTCCAGTAACCTAATAGCGATGGCCTCCACTGGTGTTTTCTCCAAGAGACTTCACGAAGTCTGGGGCGCTCATGGGCGGCGTCACGTGCAAAAAGTCGAACTCTTTGGTGATCACTTCGCCACCTGCGATGCGAGCGACGCGTTTTCGTCGTACGCCGCCTTCCTCGACTTCGACGAAAAAAGCCGGCCCGTCTGGGTCTGGTCGACGACAAAAGCTTCCGAAGTCGGGCTCGGAAGGTTCCTTTTTTGGAGTGATTCGGATCGATTTCAGCAGAGAGAGAGAGAAAGAAAGAAAAGAGGGCTTCGCACATGTTCACCCCTTCAAAGATTTCCACGAATCGCGCCAGCTCTTCCCCACTAGAGTGTGAAAAGCTAAGGGTGGCCTCAGCAGTGGTACACACAGTACACATCAGTACACCACATGGTACATCACATGGTACATCACATGGTACATCACATGGTAGTAGCAAGGGCATCGCTACTAGGAGCAAGGACGCTACTAGGGGCTCCGGGCATCGCTACTAGGAGCATTCTTACTACTAGTAACAAGAAGCTACTCGTAGTCGAATTGTAGCACGTAGACCCCAAGCTCAGACGTTGTGTGGCTGGTCGCTGGTGAATCCCCATCGTTGGGTCCGAGAGGGGCCGTCAGAATGGCCCAACACACCCCAAAGGGTCACATCGCGGTCCATTTGCGGCGATGGCCTCCAACCTAGTAGCGATGGCCATGCTTTCTTTTTTGTGTCTTCTTTCTTAAAAAAAGGAAATGATCGCTATCGTTCTTTCCCTCCTTTTGAATCTGTTTGATCTTTCTGTGCTTCCTTCCTTTGTCTTTCCGACAGAATGGCCTTCTTGTTCAAAGACCGCGATCTTTCTATCACCATCCACTTCCACCAGGTTCGTCTTCACTGACGGCGTGATGCCTAGGGGTCAGACCGTCAAAGCGTATCTTCCAAAACCAACTTACAAAAGCCTCCCAAAGCCGCCTATAAGCAGCTTGGGATGCCAAACACTCCTTACTCAGCCTTACTCTTACCTGCAGACTTCCTGCAATGAATGATCTCTCATTCTTACTTCATGTGACATACCAAACCTGGATTCAAAGCCTTCTCCACATGTCACATATAGCCTAGCTGAAAATGATGGCTACCCTTGGACAAACTCTTGCGCAGCTCTTACATGGCGCAATGATCCGCAGCTCTCGCACAATGTACCAAATGTTTACTCCCTCTGAATGATGATATCCGAACAGCCGTTCCCACCTTTCTGTGCCATTTGCTTTTCCAAGGCGATCTTGTACTCTGGACACGCGAAGATGCCTCAAGAAAAGAACTTTCCCATGAAGCGAAGGTCGAAGGAACTCGAAATCACAATCGGAGTTCATTGAGGAACCAGCAAGGTCTAAATTGATTGTTTCGCGCGCAAAAGGTCTAAACAAAGAATCGCAAAACAAGGAGAAAGAAGGAGCCGTTAAAGGTCTGAAAGTCGAAGGAAAAGGACCAAAAAACCTGTCGAGAAGACGTGTGCGAGTCTGTTTAAAAAACCATGATTTAAAAAAGGGAAAGTCTAAAGAACACGGAAGGTGTAAGAATCCTTTATCTCCATGTGCAGGAAGGTCACCGAAGGGCAGTCTTGAACCAATTCCCCGCCTGGAGTCGCTGTGATGAATTCGATGTCAATATTCTGGCGAACTCCTGGTTTGATGAGCGCAAAGGCTGCCCCAGGAAGGCCTCCACCCTAGTAGCGATGGCCTCCAACACCAAGACCCAGGTTGAGTAGGGACTTGGGGACCCTAGTGAACTGTTCAACAGGGCAGAAGCAAAGAACCTTGCAGTGGACAAGAAGGATAGTGGAGGAAAATGACCAGGACGAGAAGGAGGAGGAGGAGAGCGAAGAGAAGAGACTTTAGAGACAGGCGAACCCTTGCGAATCTGAGAAGACAGGAAAGACTGAATGTTTAAGAAAAGCAAGGGTCTGATTTATTTGAACAACAATAAACAAGTCAAAACATATCATTTGGAAACAATCAATCAGAGCAAGAACAGTTGTCCTCGTTTTCTCCACTTGGCTTCGGCCAGATAGGCGATCTTTTGAGGTGCCCCACCACAATTCACCGCGGTAGCAGGATTGGTGAAGATGGCCTTTCCTGGAGAATGGCAACTTCTTCAAGTGGGAGCAAGGGCCTTACTAGTAGTAACAAGAAGCTATTAGAAACAAGAATTAGTAAATAGAGCTTCTTGTTACTACTAGTAAGGCACTTGTTACTAGAAGCGATGCACTTGTTCCTAGTAGC